ATGACGTCGATAAAATGTTTTTTGTCGTTTTTTTTTTTTTGAATATTTTAAATGACATTAATGAATATAATCGATATAATGACATTGAAAAATGCCAGATAATATGTCAAAATTGATTTTAAAATTACATTTCTTTGATTAGTTTAGAATAATCCACCAATCAAAATCATTATTATATCCTCTATTAAGAATTTTATTACTATTTAGTTTGATTATCATTGGTTAGTTTCTTCTTTACGCTGATGTTTATTTGTGTTTCTTTTTTTAGGACTGTACACTTCAGTTACATCTATTTATTATCTTGTTTTTTTTTGCCATTTTTACACTGTATTATAATACTATAGAAAAATCAAAAGAATTTCAATGGCAACAACAAAAAGTCCAAATGAAACTTTTAATATGGATGATTTTGATGCACTTTTAGCTGCACTTAGTCCTGAAGATCTTGAAAAAGTCAATGATCTTATTGATCCTGAAGTATATTATTTATTAATTTTTGTCTTTTTTAAATATTATATTTAATATTTAGAATTCATGGTTACCAGCAAGTGAACGTTGTAAACCACAAACAACTAAATCTCCAACTGGTCCATATGATCGTTCAAAACTTCTTGATTTTCTTACTGAACAAGGAAAAAATGAAAAGGATTGGGATCATTATAAATCATATGTACCAGGTGAAAAAAAAGGTAAAGTTTGGCAACCACCATCTGTTACAAAACCAACACAAGAAGAAGATGAATTTATGGTTACAACTGAATGGGATGATGTATTAACAAATGCAAGTGAATCAGAAATTGTTGAACTTGCTGGTTTGTTAATTGAATTTTAATAAAATATAGACTATTTATTTATTTTTTTTTTTTAGCTATACTTGGCTTTACAGGTTTAATTAATCAAGTGCAATATCATGCAGCATTAACTGATAAAGGTTTACCATCAACTGTTGGTGGATGGAATGGTAAGAACAATAATAAAAAAAAGAAAAAAGCTGAAAGATTTAATCCTTTGTTTTTCATTTATTTTATTAGCTGCAGCTAAAAGTGAACCATTAAAAATTCTTCCACCTGAACCTGATAATACAACTGATGTTGAAGATTGTATAAGAAAAGCTAAAGCTAATGATAAAGATTTTATACGTATTAATATAAATAATATTAAAGAAGTTAAAGCTGATGTTCTTAAAGAATTACTTAATTCATTAAAAGGTAATACACATGTACAAACTCTTGAAATGGCAAATGTTGGTATGACAGATAGTGTTGGTCGAGTATGTTTTATTATATAAATATTTTGAGTTCTGTTATTCGTAAAAAAGAATATTTATTAGGTTCTTGCCGAACTTCTTGATGCTAATTCAACATTAAAAATTGTTAATGCTGAATCAAATCGTTTAACAGGATTAGTTATTAGTGAAATTGTACGAAGTACATTAAAAAATCAAACATTATTAGAATTACGTTTATCAAATCAAGTAAATATAAATATGTTTTGTTATTTACCAGATGTTGTTTTAGTTAAGCGAGGAAACAAAAAAAGGCAGAATATATTATATTAACATTGACATGGAAAATAATAATAGATTGATTACTAAATTATCTATGCAGAACTTTTGTTTTTTTTTACAGAATAAATGTCATTACGTAAAGATTTGTTATCGAATTTTCATATAATATTATTTTTAATAATAATAATTTTCCAAATATAAAATTCGCTTTTGAATTCGAATTTCATGCATTAAGTATGAAGAATTGTAAAAAGCATAAGGTCCTCCTAAAAATGATTGAGAATTTTTGAAGTCGGTCGATTTCTATTAATCGAAATGGCTTCATAAAATATTCATTTTCTTTTTCCACCCTTAGGTTTTTATCAATATCATGTCTGCTCGATTTCCCAAAAAGATAAATATCTGCTGTTTCTATATATAGTGCAGAAATTAATAAAAAAAAAAACAGACTCATTTATCTATCAATTGATTGCTAAACTGTAAATCTTGTATTTTCTTACTCGACGTTATTAGATAAAGTTTAATTTTTTTTTTGAATTAAAATTATTTTAATAAGAACAAGTACACTGATTTACAAAAAAGTTTTATCAGAGAAAAAAATGGTATTTTCATAAAATATTTTGAAACTAAATCAGTTATAATTATGTAGTATGACATGTTCCGAAAACTTCTACTCAAAAGGATATTCAAGAATTTCATGTTTTCTTTGAAAATTTCGATATTTCATGAAGGAAATATTCTTCTGAACTGGAATTTCCAGGATATTCTAGTTATATCTATAGGCTAAACATTATCGTTTGAAGGTCTATGATCTCTTAACCTTTTCGAGTTATTTTACAACCTTATGCTTAGGATTTCAATTCAAAAGCGATTTTCAAGTTCTTCGTTAAATACACTATTTTGTTTCTATGAATGAACAATATTAATATTACGAAAGATGACTTTCGTATATTCGAAATTCCAATTGATATCAATTAAAAAAATTTCTAATATTTTTGTTTATAATAAATTCTAGTGAATTGAATATGGAAGACAGGTATCATTGTCATGTTATGAATTCAAGCAATTATTTTCATTAAAGATCAGGATATTCTGATATTTGAGCATGCAAGCAAGCAAGCTTTCATATTTGCTATAAATTTCTTAAAAATTCAGTTATTTATAAGATGTATTAGTAATTATTTTTTCATTTATAAGTATCCTTATACTAACCCTGTTATAACTCTTGAAGAAAAAAATATGCATGAGAATATATATGCTTTTGTGGCTTCTACAAGCTTGGAAAAGGAAAAAATGCTTAAATACATGTCTTGATCAGTCTTACAAGTGAAGTTTCTCAATTTGATGAAAATGTTTTTTTAGTCACGACTATGTGTATCATGTAAATCCTAATAGGACTATAAATGTTGTTCAGACTGTTTATTTATAAGGCAATACCTGAAACATTTGTTTCCCTATGTGGAATCTACAGTAATAAACTAATAGTCTGAACACTCGAAAGTATTCATAATTTATGAGGATTTACATGATTCACATAATCTTAATTTAAAGACGATTCATCAATTGAAAAACTTATCTTATATTGGACGAGATTTTGAAGACAAGCAGCATGTAAAAACAAAAAAAACCTGAAAAATAACTTTGAATAAAATTTTCTCAATGAAATGATTAATATTGAAAACGAGTTTTATGTTAATTCTCTTGAGTAATGAATAAATCATATTAATATTAATGATATTTTTTAATAATTTATTTTAGCGTTCACAAATATTGGGTAATCGAGTTGAAATGGAAATAGCTGATGCTATATCACAAAATAATACACTTCTTCGTTTAAATTTACAATTTGATACACTTGGACCGCGTGTTCGTGTTACAGAAAAACTTAAACAAAATTTAGATGCTCGTAAGAAATCTTTACAAAAAAAAACAGAGTTAATATTTTTTTTAAATAAACTCTTTTTGTTTTTAGTACGTAAAAAACGTTTAAACAATAAACAATAAACGCATTGAAAAGAACAAAAAAAAAAAAATTACTTACACATATCTTTTCACTATCCTTACGGTTTTCTTTTTTGCACTGGCAATCTCATTATCCTTGTTTGTTTTTTTTTTTGTCTTTTTTTATTCTACAATGGTGCTGATTATGATTCGTATTTCCTTTTTTTCGCATGATAATACTGAACAAAAAAAAAAAAAAAAAGAATCGTCTAGTCAACACCATCAACGAAAAGTTCATTATAACTCCTTACCGAAATTGTTTTTTTTTTCTCCTTTATGAATTAAGATCCTTTTTAAACATGCAAAATATTTGTATGTATATTAGTCATTTATTTGTAATCCTTCCTGTTTTGGTCTGATTTTGTTTCTTTTTTTTTTTCTCTGTCGTAGAACTTATTTAGTCAACCTAAATAAAGTTAATTATGTAGTTTGATTTTTTTTCTTTCCTTTTTTTTTTCAGATAACTTTTTTTTTTTTTTTCGTCAGTGGAATTCTAATCGTTAGAACAAACAATAATTGATCAAGAAAATTGCAAAGAACTATGTCATTTTTAGTACATCTGTTTAGAATAGAAAGATTATTCCTGTGCGTCTGTGTGTTTTGTTAATTTGCTTTTGTGAATAGATGCATCAGCTTTTGAAGTATATACTTGATATCATTAGTAGCATCTTGAAGAGATGCTATTGATGTATGCATTATTAAATAAGGTTATTTAGTTCTAGATAGACAAGAAGTTTTAAATTAGATGTTGACAAGTCCTCATGAAGTGTATCGAGAACATTTCTGTATTGGAAAAATATGTTAAGTGAATTTCTGATAACTTCGCTATTATAGTCTTGACTCATCACTATGAGATATAAACGAGATAAATTTCCAGCATCATTCCTTTTTTTCTATAACGATTATGAATAGTCTGTGACACAATGTAAAAAATTCGTTCCCATGTTTTATCTTTTTTATGTTGTCAAATTTACTTATGAAAATCTGCTATAATTTTTGTATCGTTGTCGAAACAGCTGTCAAAATGTAACAGTTAACATTATTGTAAATCGACACAATATACGACATATTGTGATTGTATTGAACATTCTGTTCTTTCTATGTATGACGTTATTTTTAACGATCTTGTTTTATGTTTTAAATCATTTTCTTATACATCTCTTATTTCTTCATTTGAGTGTTCATTCACTGTATTGTAAGGTAGAGCCTGTCGAGTTGATATCGAATTCGACTATCTCTAGTCGTCTGAAAAATGTGTAGAGTGCAATAATGACGAAAACCAAAAGTCCGGAAAAATTATTTCATATCTTCAAGATCACTATTCATTTTCATTGAGAATGTCGAAGTACGATTCGATATCGGATGGGCTCTACTATGAGAAATTTAAAGATCGTCCATTATTATAAAATAACGAACATTTTTCTTTAAAAATCCTGCATGCTATAAAAGTTTTTTTTTTTTTTTATATAATAGAAATTTAGTGTTGTTTTAGATGAAACTTCGTTTATTCTTATTTCATTTCTTATTAATTGTTCAAGTTGATTTACATCGTTATAATGATCAAAATGACAATGATAGTATATATGAATTAGATAATCTTTTAAATAATTATAATCATCATAAAAAACATTCAAATAAAGAATATATTCAAGATTTAACAAATAATGATCAAAATGATATTTCATCATTTCAACGTGAAAAAAAATATTCATCACGTAAAAAAATTACCGATGATATTGATACTGGTGATGAACAAGAAAAATCTATACATCATAATCATATATCAAAAACAAATAATAATCGATCAGAATTATCTAATAAATCTAATCGAATTACACAAACAACAACAGAAAGTTATATTGAAGAAGCATCATTATGTATAAATGAATTTGATATTAAAACTGAACAATTAGTTAAAGTAAAAGAATTAAAAAATGGTGCACATATGATACGTTTTGTTCGTATTGATGAACCATCATCATCTCATGGTCTTGATATTAAAGATATTTGTATGTTAAATTGTTGTGTTGAAGAAAAATGTGATTTAGCTATGCTTAGTGAACAACGTACAAATGTAAGATTAGTATTTTCTTTTTTTTTTTGTTTTATATTCAAATATTTATTTATTTATATGATTATTCTGTTTGATCTTGAAGGATGGTTATAAATGTTATTTATTTGCTTGTAATGGCAGTTGTACATATGCATCACATCAAGAATATACTAGTATGATATTAAAAAAAGATTTATCATCATATAATGATGATTTACAAGTAACAAATAAACAATCAAAAACTAATGAAAAAGGATCAGGTGCTTCATCGTCAACAATATGTAAGTTCTATAAGATGTTATTTTTTTTGATATATTAAAACAGTAAAAAAAAAAAACGAAATATAATAATAATAATAATATTCGATTGATATATGTATATGTAGCTACAGCATGTCGAAGTATAGAATTTTCTTGTCGTGATGGAAGTTGTATTCCATATTATGATGTTTGTAATTCATATGAAGATTGTCCATCGGGTATTGATGAAGCGATGTGTTCATCGGGTATATATATGTTGTTCATCTTGTCGTATTGTCATTGTGATTGTTGTTTTGTTATTGTGTGATTATTTGAATTCTTTTTTTTGATCATCTATTAGAATTTACTCTTCATCAACGTACACAACAAGAAAATCGAAAAAAACCTTCAAATGATATTGATAATGATATTGATGAAAATTTTGATGATGTCGTAGATGAAGATCAATTAATAACAACAACAATGAAAAGTAAAACAAAACTAACAAGTACAAAATCATCATTATCAAAAAGCAAATCAAAAAATCGTGAAGGCATGAATTTCGATATTTGTTTCTTTTTTTCCTTTGCGTTTAAAAATGACATTAAAATAAAATTAAAAAAAAAATATTCTTTCAGGTGGAAAACAAGATAAAAATTTAACTTCACTGTCATCACCATCATCATTTTTCTATAATATTGATCTTGATACACAAGAACGTGTATCAAGATTACAAAAATTAAAAGAATATCTAGAAGAAACTAAAGGTCCTGAAGCATGGTATCATTTATTTCAAACATTAATTCAACATCAACAACAAGAACATACAAATTTAGATTCTGAACAAACTGGAACATTATCATCAAGTGATGATGATAATAATTTTCAAGATCATTTATTAGCTTTAGAACAACAATGGATAGCTGATCGACAAAAAACATCAACAACTACAACAACAACAACAACAACAATCAAATCAAAAATAATCAATAGAAAACCTACAACAACAACAACAAAACGAATGAAAATTATCAATGATGATGATTTAAGCTTACGACGACCATCAACTATTATTGATGATGAATCAACTGATGAGGATGTTGATGATGGTGATCGATATTATTGGCGACCAACATATGATGATCGTCATGAAAATCGTTATAATTATCAACAAAAAAGTAAAACTACATCAACAACAAAAAAACCAAAAACAAAATATCCATTTATAAATCGAGATAGTAGTACTATGACAACATTATTACGAGGTAGTTCGATATTGTTTTCTCTTTTGGTTTTTGTTGTTTTGGCTGTTCGCTTCTAATTAGTTGTTTTTGAATGTGCTTTATTTGTTAAACACAAAAACAAAAAAAAAAACATCAGAAAATAATCTTTATTTATTTTTTTAGCTAATAATATTGATTCCGACAATTATTCGCATACAAGATCATTTTTACGTGAATCAAGTGTTATATTACTTTTTCTACTTGGTCTTATATGTACAATTATTTTACTTGTCTTAGTCGGTTTCTATTGTCGAGATTCATGGAAACATGGTCGAATGCTTAAAAATCGTTCAACAGATGCTGATTATTTAATTAATGGACTTTATCTTTAATAAAAGAAGAATAAAAAGAAAAAAGAAAATAAAAATTAGAATGATGTCTGATTAGTTTTTCTTGTTGTTAGTATTGTTATTGTTCAAAAACATTAAAGTATTCGACTATGTCACTGTTTTCTCCTTTCTAAATATGTTATTTCATGTTAATTATTGACAAAATTCTGAGCGTATATCAAACATATTTATGTATGTGTTCATTGTGTGTCGTTTGAATCTCTATTATTTTATTGACAAAATATGCTCTTTGTTAGATACTAATCTGTCATTTGTCTCAATGTCATTTATTTTTTTTTCTTCTTCTTTTGTTGTGTACCATTGTTGAATATGACTTTATGTTTAAATATATGCATATACATTTCAAAAGCAAAATAAAACCTTCTTTTTTTTATATTATATTGTTCTGCTATTTTTTAGATTTTAGTAGTGAGTTATTACGATATTTTTGATAAATAGATAATAGTTTGCAACTAATCATGTACAAACGAAATTGAAAAAAAAATTAATTGTCCAAACGATTGTTTTCAAATTTTTTTTTTATAGATATTTCATTGTCTAGTAGACAGATAGTTAAAAGAAATGATTTTGATATGCTCTTCGAACATATTTATATTCGAAGACAAGAGAGAGTCGAAATAAATTACAAAAAAAAAATAAAACTTATATTTGTAATTCAGATTTCATTAGTGGATCCTATGATTAAAACATTGCTTCCAAACTATTTATTCATCATGCTAAATTGAATATATAGAGAATAAGATATTATTCAGTGTAATTCGAAGAGAAAAATAATCAAAGGATGACTTCAACAGTTGTTGAACACATAAAGAAATTGTTAGTTTAAAACAAAACAATGACTCCATAGATTATTGTGAATCTCATTCAGATTTAAATTGTGTTTTATCCAATTTTTTCTATATAATTAATATATTCTTTTTGAAATTCGATGTTATGTTCTAAGACAAGTCTATTCTATGTTGTAGATGATTCGTAGACGTTTTTCTCGTCTATTATTCTTGGCTTTTTTTCTCATTATGGTCTTTATTCTATACTCCATGCTTCAGTCGATTAGTATGAATCGTAATGAACATCAGGTTAAAATGGAATAATACAATTTGAAATTTTTATCTTGTTTATTTATAATAGGTAACAGATGAGAAACATGTTCGTGAACGTCTTGATCATCTTAAAGAATCAATTCAAGACCTTGATAAATCAATCAAAGATGAAGATAAAAAGCAAAATGTACGACCAATACCACCTCCACCAGTACTTCCAGTTGCATCAAAAACGGAAGTTCATGAAGAAAAGCCAATTATAAAACCAATTGAAACAGAAAAACCTTCTAATACAATAAATCGATGTCTATGGCGAAATTCTTCCCCAGTTAATACGACATTCGAAGTACGTAAATTATTTATTTATTCAGTATCTAGAAAATTTTTTTTTGTTTGTCTAATAAGATTCGTCAATTATATGATACATTGCCGTTCGATGATATAGACGGTGGTGTTTGGAAACAAGGATTTGATTTAAAATACGATTCATCTCAATGGACATCAAATAATAAATTAAAAATCATTCTTATGCCTCATTCACATTGTGATCCAGGTATTGACAAAACAAAAAAAACAAAAAATTTAAAAACAAATCTAAATCAAATTATTTTTTTTTTAAGGTTGGCTTCATACATTCGAAGGATATTTTCAACATGCAACAAAAAATATCATTGATAATGTGATAACAATGCTTGATAAAAATAATAAATATAAATTTGTCTGGGCTGAAATATCTTTTTTAAGTTTATGGTGGGATCAAGCATCATCCGATCAACGACAATTATTTAAAAAGTTTATTAATAATAAACAACTTGAAATAGTTACCGGTGGTTGGGTAAGTATAAAGGAAAAGAAAACACAAAACATTTACATATCTAGAAAGAAATTTCCAAAAAATTTACCGTATGATAGAAATAGTATCCAGCAACTGGATCGGGTGTTTGACACCCGGCTCAATCTGAGACATGGATTAGAGCACAATCTCAGCAGGTCCCGAGTAGGACCTTATATTCGAACTCAGTCCGACAATGAATAAGATCTCGACATTTCAAAAGACTTATTTATATAAAAGCTTCGGAGTAAAAAACAATTCTAAAAACTTATTGCAGATGAGAAGAGGTTATCGAAATGGAAAATGATATTATTTTTCTGTTTCATTTTCGAATATTCTTGTTAGAAATGAAATTCTCTAAACAAATCACTATTTTGAATTCTTATTAACGTTGATGACATTGAAAATAAATCTAGTCGAACAATTTTAAGAGCCACAGTATGATAAAAAAACTGTTTTTTTTTTAAGGTAATGAATGATGAAGCTAATACACATTATTTCGCTATGATTGATCAACTAATTGAAGGGCATCAATTTATTGAAAATAATTTAGGTTTGTAATCATGTCAAATTCTTTTTCTATATTGTTTGAATTGATTTTTATTTTAGGAAATATTACTCTACAAAGTGGTTGGGCTAATGATCCATTTGGTTATTCACCAACTATGGCTTATTTACTTCATAATATTGGTATGCAATATATGGCTATACAGCGGTAAATATTTTTAAATATATTAAAATAAATTCTTGATTGTTTTTGTATTTAGAGTTCATTATCATATTAAAAAAACTTTAGGTAAAGAAAAACAATTAGAATTTACTTGGCAACAAACTTGGGGTAAACAAAAAAAACTTTTTTTTTAAATATTTTTATAAATATAAATTTTCTAGATCGAAATAATTCTACAAGAATTTTTACACATGTTATGCCATTTTATTCCTATGATGTTCCACATACATGTGGTCCTGATCCAAAAATTTGTTGTCAATTTGATTTTAGACGAACAACTGGTTCAGATGTTACGTGTCCATGGGGAATCAATGCTGTACTAATTACCGATGAAAATGTTCGAGAACGGTACATTTAAATAAGGTTTTTGCTTTTTTTTGTGAAACTGACATTATGTTTGTGGAAGATAAATATAGTGAGTGTAAGTTTTAAGAGGACCTAACTGGATCTACTTAGATCATCATCCTAGTAAACGATTATCCTTGAAAAACAACTATAGTTTGTCGGAGGTTTTTCACTTAACATATTTTTTAATAGTATAATATTTCTTTATAATATATGAACTACTTCCTTATTGCATTTCAGAAAAAGAATTTTGACAAAAATATGTCATAAAATAAATAGAGTAAATTAATTTTGATGTAATTAGTAAAAACAATTGCATTGTGTTTCATATTTTTATTCTATCAGGATTATGCTAACAGTTTTTTAATTTATTATATTTTACCTCTAGAGCTCAAACACTACTTGATCAATATCGAAAAAAATCTCAATTATACCAGACCAATGTATTATTTGTTCCATTAGGTGATGATTTTCGTTATGCAAAAATGGTTGAAGCAAAAAATCAATTTGAAAATTATGATAAATTATTTACATATATGAATCAACAAACTGATTGGAATGTTGATGTAAGATTTAGTTTTATTTGTTTTTATTGAATTAGATTCTTCATATTTGATAAAGAATATTAGGCTCAATTTGGTACGTTAAGTGATTATTTTGAACAAGTTCTAGAACAAAAACCACAAACACAATTTCCAAGTTATATGGGAGATTTTTTTACATATGCTGATCGAGCTGATCATTATTGGAGTGGTTATTATACTTCAAGAGCATTTTTTAAACGAATGGATCGTATTGTTGAATCTTATTTAAGGTAATTATAAACAAAACAAAATAAAAAATTAAGATGATAAACTCTTAAAACTTTTTAAAACAATTGATGAGTAGTCAAAACTGGTATTGTATTAGGATTGTTTCTACTGTAATATTCGAAAGTATTCTTCTGATATGTTTCTTGTCTTTGAATAGTCAGATCTTGGATGATTTCGCGAGATTCGACATTGAAAGAGAATAAAACAAAATGTACATATATATATATAGATTTCTAATTGTCAATAGCTTATCATCCTCATCGAATGCTTACGAATTATTATTATTTTAATTTATTCTAGAGCAAGTGAAATTCTTTTTTCTATGGCTCATGCAAAAATGCTTGAACAAAAAACAACAAGTCAATTTCCAAAAGATAATCTTTTCACAAATTTAGTTAAAGCACGACGAAATCTTGGTTTATTTCAACATCATGATGGTGTTACTGGTACAGCTAAAGATCATGTTGTTAATGATTATGGATTAAAGTATATATATATAATTTAAATTCGAATGATTTAATTAAATTTTTTTATTTCTTTTTTTTCAATAGACTTGAAACAGCAATAGTATCAGCACAAAATGTTATGGAACAATCAGCTGCTTATCTTCTTTATCAAAATGATTTTTCAGCTGATACTGATCTATTATTATCAAATATACAATTTAAAACATTTGAATCATTACCAACAAGAAAATTAATTTCATTCAATAGTCAACAACAACAAGTCAAGTAAATAATAGTCATATAAATTTTTATCATCTTTTATTTTCAAATTATTCTCTATAGAGTTATTTATATTTATAATCCAACTGATCGACGACGTACTCAAATTGTTAAAGTTCTTATTGATACATATCAAGTTCATGTAACAAGTAATAATCAAGTGATAGATACCTGTCAAATTGATCCCAAATGGACTGGAAGAAAATCAAATATGATGGAAAAAAATACATTTGAAGTACGTATTAAAACTAAGGGATCGAAATTTCGCTAATTAGTGAAAAAGTAGAGTAGACTTTCGCTAGCTGTCACGAAACTATATTAATATATAATACATGTAAGTGGCAATTAACTTAAATTCAGATAGTAATTTTAATAACGAATGGAGGATAGTTTTCAGATTCTAGACCGTATTTTTTAATAATACTATTTTAAAGATAATAAATCCAAGGTCGCCACTTTTTCTACGTTCTTCTCTTCAAAAGTTACAATTTAAAGAAGAGTTGTTATGAGAACATGTGGAAGCTTCTCATTTGTTCTCTTGGATATGATATTATTAAAAAAATACGTTGTAGGACCTGATAACTACCTTATCTGTTTTTTTTTCGCAAATCTTGTTATACGACGCATTAGATGGAAAATTACATTGCTGTTAAACTTGTTTCTATCAACTTTTAAATATCATCGCTTACGTTGAAGGTATATTCAAATATGAGCGAGTTATGACTTTAATAAAAGACAAATAAAGTATAATATAATATTGCTCTAACGATGAATTTCATAAGCCTGATTTGGAAGCATCATTCTTTTCTTTTCTTCTCCGATAAACATATTCGCAAATCAATTACTATTGTTTCGATTACGATCAACATCTCTGAGTTGTTTTACTGATTACTATTGGTTTTAATACCTATACTAACCTTGTTAGATTTACTGGCTATGTTGTTCCTTTAGCACAATCTGAGATTGTGATGCAGTGGTACACGTTGTGATTAGTGCCTGCCATAACTACCGTCGACTAGAACATGGTCACGTACAGTAATAGGCACAAAAAAAAGTCACATATCCTGTGTTTGTGTTAACTGTATCAATTTTTTCACAATACAAATAATTGCATATTCTTAGCTTATTGTGATAAATCATTTACTTTTCTGAATCAAAATAACTAAGCATTAATGCTACACAAGAAATTAGAACTGAGAAAAGTTTAAAAACTTTCCTCCGACAAATTGAAATTGACAATGAGAGTTAGGTTAAATTTTAAATTATCCTAGGGAGAAGATTTTTAACTTTCTTGAATTCTAATTTCTGCAAAAACGTCACAGCAAGTATAAAAAATATTTTAAAGTACATGTTTTGTTACAAATACAGTTGAATAAAAATACACGCATATGTTATTATTCTATAGAACCGCATCGAATTCATTAAAAGCATAGTCTTCTTCTTCGTCGTGGTTAATAATCTCACTGTTTGTATTCGTTTTTTGCTTTTATCTAACTTTTGTCATAATAAACATCGTTCAAAACAAGAGACCGCGATAAACTAGAAAGGATGACAGTGACGAAAAAATTTGATCACGCCCGGTACTAGTTGAAACGAACATTCATCGAACAATTGTTGTTTAAAACGATGCTTAAAAATTATGGCTACGACATAGTCGAAGATAATCCAGTCAATGTAGTCAATAGTAAATTTGTGAAATACAATCTAAAAGGAATGTCAAAGGATAGAGATAGAAATTTAAATTTAAATTCTCCATACTAACGTGATAGATATCTTTAGCAAAGTCTCTTCCTTATTATAAATTGTGACAGTCATTGTTGATATGCTATTAAAGACTATATATAATTAGCGTCTTGTTCTTATATATGAATTACTTTCTTATTGCATTCATCATGTTTTATATTTTAATCTCGCAAGGATTGCACTAATAGTTTTCTTTAATTCACAGTCAAATTGGAGAAAGTTTACTATACTGTCACGTTCTATTGGTGAAATTCTGAAGTCTTACTAGAACTCTTTATTTTTTCTTTTCTTAATCATTTAATTTTTTTTTTATAGCTCCTTATTCTTGTTAATATAGAAGCTTATTCTTTAAAAGAATATACAATTCATGTTAGTACAACTCAACAATCATGTCCATTAAGTAAAATTGAATATATTAATGAAAAAGATAAAACAATGGAATCATCTGGGTATATAATTTATAATGAAATTTATTGAATAAAACTTTCTTTATTTTTCTTTAATATTTAGACCATTTAAATTAGAACTAATCGATAAAAAAACAATTAAATTAAATAATCGTTTTCTTTCAGTAAGTTTTTCAAAAACAGGTGCATTACTTAGTGTTCAACATTTAAAACATGATGAAAAAGTTTCTTTTACAACGAATGTTATTCAATATGGTTCATCAATGCAAACAGATCATAATAGTGGTGCATATTTATTTTTACCTGATGGTGAAGCAAAAGATATTCCTACAAGTAATCATGATCTTATACGTATTCAACGAGGTTTATTAGTTAGTCGATTTGATATTCTTCATGAAATGTATGGTTTACAATATAAATTAACAAATACAAATGGTTAAAATTCTATATGAATATTTACTATACAAATAAAAAATGATTTCGTTTTTGTATTTTAGGTTCAGATGATTATATTGTTGAACTTGGTGCTACAACTCATTTAAATATGAATCAAGATATTGAATTAGCTTTGAGATTTACTACTGGTATTAAAAATGGTGATGAATTTTTTACAGATCTTAATGGATTTCAGGTAAGAATATAAAAAGTTTTGTATTGAAATTTCTAAACACTTCTATCACAAGATTGAGTATTTTTTTTTTTATTATATCAATGCATTCGGTTCTTCTCATCAATTTGAAAGCGATAACTTGTTCTTTAAAAAAATCTAGTTCTTATTTATTTTGCACTTGGCTCATTACTTTTACGTGTCAGAATAAAAACTGAAAGCTCTTAAAGAGTTTTAGTGACTTGTACCATTGAAAACTTATGACCAGAATAAAATGTATTGAAATAGCACCTAATTGTGATTTTCTAGAATGAATCTAGTGTCGGCGATAGCAAAAAATGTTTAGGAAGGCAAGAGTGAGTCCTAGTGTAAAAATTAAAAGCAGTACACTCCTCTAATGTTCATGATGAATCCTCGAAAGAGCTCAGCCACCCTTCGACACTAAATAAATTGCATGTTCAAAGAAAATTATACTAAAGAGAGAACCTTTCTAAATGCTAAAAAGCTTTCGAGTTGATAACTTATTCATAAGTAGAGGATCCATCTACTAGAGAAAAATTAAAAATTCATGCACGACCGCCACTTTTGCAAAAAGAACTTAAGGCTCAGAATTTTTGAGTATATTATCTTCGAGATAGAAGTTTTCTTAGATATCCATAAAAAAAAAGTATGTTTACGCTAACATACTCGTATATTGGAGATGATATGTCCAAAATTGCTGACACTTTGATTTTATTGCAAAAGTGAAATCTTGCGGAAAAATTACATTTAAATGTCAGTATCTAAGCCAAATCGCAACTTGTTCTCATTTTAGAGTTTCCCTAGTATGTATATCCCCTACCGGTGCACAAAGTTTCAGCCGATAAGCGTTTTGTCACATAGAAAGGTTCGTTCATAAATATAATGGTAAGACTTAACTAGAAGTTATAGTGTTACAATTCTGAGACTATGGTTTCATGTGATCTTAGGAGACCGTATGTCTCATTCTCTAACCTGGGAAGATGAAAATAATTTATAAAATGTAATTGAAAGATTTATTTTTGTTTTATTCGATTTTATTTTTATGCATTTTATTTAATTAACATAGACAATACGACGAAAAACTTATCATAAATTACCATTACAAGGTAATGTTTATCCAATGCCAACAATGGCTTACATTGAAGATGACCATATGAGATTTACAGTTCTTTCTGGTCAACCATCCGGTGTAGCATGTTTAAAATCCGGTAATTATTTCGAAAAAAAAAAAAGGAAAAAATTATTTTCTTTTTCAATTATTGATTAAATTTTAGGTGTTGTCGATGTTTTTCTTGATCGACGTTTAACTCGTGATGATAATCGTGGTTTAGGACAAGGTGTTACAGATAATCGAGAAATTATTAGTAGTTTTAAACTTCTATTTGAACCACGTCATACAGTATGTAATAGTAATGTGATGAAACGAAACTTTGCTAGTTTCTTTTTCTGTTTTTTTTCAGATTGCTGATCGAATATCATTAACTGGTTATCCAACATTATTAGCTCATCATCATTCAATTGAACTTTTATATCCTATGCATATATTTCAATCAACATCAATAAAAATTCCACAACCTGAATTAAATTTATTTTCTAAAATAAATCTATTTCCGAGTGATTATCATTTAGTTAATCTACGCACATTAAATGAGAATCGTGATGATTCCAAATGTAGTCCATCAAAAAACTTAGCATTGATTTTACGAAGATTTGCTTATGACTGTGATGAAAATTATGATAGTTTATTTCATTTTGAACAAGTAATTATTTATTTATTAAAAAATAATATATATTTTTTGAATTTATTTTTCTTATAGCCAATATTTGAACATTTTTTTCAAGCTAATCAAATACAATCTATTGAACAAACTTCATTATCATTAAGACATGTACAAAATCAATTGACTGTTACATCAAAACTTGATGTACCATTAGCAGAAATAACAACATATAAAATAAAAATGAAATAAACGATAAACAATTTTATTTTTGTCTTTTGAAGCAACGACAGGGTTTGCTTTTTTAAAGGAAATAACATTTTATACGGACAAGCATGGTCGAATTACACAGTTCTTTTTCTATGTTACACTAATGTTTTCTATTAACGTATGTTTATGTGAATTTTTACCGAGTTAAGTGGAGTTTGTTTTCCTTTTTTCTTTTTTTTTTTTGACGCGCTGTATGTTATGGTTTTGTTTATAGTATATAACAAAATAAATCGAACATCGTGTGACAATGTTCTATAGTCAATAAAGATGATGCCAGGAAGAAGAGAAAAAAACGTTATTGACATATCATGAAATGACTCTAGACAAATATTATTCATGTCATTCGAAGTAGAATTATTAGAATTTCCTTTTTCTTCTTTTTTTTTTTCATGATTGGTGAGTTTCATGTCTGCATTCGTCGTACAGAAATATTATAATATAGCTATACAGGAAGCCATGCCAGGTAATAAATGACGAATATAAAAGTATTAGCAATGTCTGCGTTGCGTTGAGTGTTGAGTGTTCTGCTTAACAGACCCCAATAACCGTTTGATTGTATACATATATATACATATAAGATATTTTAAGTAAGCCATATAATGACATTTCTTTTCGGAAATGATATCTATGCATAAGTGCGAATATATATATATATATATATATATATTTCAATCGTTGTATCATAATATATCTGGTCATGAAATAATTAATCGCAGCAAAAAGCAAACAGACACGGTAACGTCAACGGGTTAGTGTCAGCATTTTCTCTGAGATGCTTCTTTCTTCTCTTCTTTTTTTTGCATATTGTATATTCGGGTTTATACTAAAAAACAATATCGTTTTGCTTGGCTTCAAGAACAGTAATACTAATATTACTGCTAATAATAAAATGCCTATTAAGAGCAACAGAGAAAGAGAGAGAAAATTTATAAGTGTATGTGTCTGTGAAGCGAGAAAATGACGAACAAAAATGTTTAGCATACTAGACCTCCCTTCCAGTAATTTGTTCATAGCATATAATGGTAAGTCGTCAGTGCAGAAGGAAATAAGGGGGAGAGAAAAAAAAAGGAAGAAACCAAGCTTCAAAATGGCAACCACGCATACATGCAATAAAAGACACGACTAATAACATTCATGATAGAAGAAAAGTTAACCATATGATACCAATACAAAAAATTGAACACAACTATATTGATATTTTAACTTAATCACAACATTACTAACCAAGTATATGAATAAGTGGAATTACTTTATATATTTTTCAACCACTTCAAAAATCAAGATGTTTGTGGCCTCATTTAATCGATAACAATACCAAACGGAAGAAAAATCATTTTCAGCAAACAAAAGAAAAGAATAGTATAACATGAATCAATGATTGAATGCTATTATTTTCTCCATTTCATGATTCCTAATATTTATCGATGATAAAGACAACGACAACGATGGCGAGAATGAGAACGACGAATAGAACAACTGCAAACGAGAATTTCCCCATGGAAGAAGTTTCACTCCGTTATTCGTTAGCAAGTAAGAACTAAGAGTACGAGAGACGGAGAGAGAGAGAGAGAGCGAAAGAAAGAAAACAGAAAAATATGGGGCGCTAATTTTAGTACAATATAAAATTTTTTTTCATTCACTACCATCGCTTGAGTGAACAATCATATTGACATATCGATCCCATTGTTCAAATTATATATTCTTGTTTTATTGAAAGGTTTCATCTTTTTTTGACATTGCTAACGTTTAGCGCTAAATTGAATAGGCGATACTTATTGAGTTGTTTTGTCTGGATGAAATTACTAGGACCAACGCTTAGGACAATATATAGCTAGATGGATAGATAGAAATATAAAATAAGAGAAGAACAAGAAAGAACGGAATCCAACGCATTATACCCAATTTGTTGTTATGTCGATGATGACGAAGCGAATAGAAAAAAAAAAAGGAAAGAACAACAGGAATAGAAAACAGAAGATAGTGGTTTAACCCAAAATCATACTAGCACGAATGATGACAATGATGGTTTCATGAATACTCCACGCCTCTAGTTTCCTCTCTTTTTCTCGATAAAAACAACAACTGCAAGGTTTATATGTCAATTATTAGAAATAGATAAGGTATATTTGTTTAAATATAACAGATTGAAATAATTTTAGCATCCTATTACAAACTCTTGAATTTTTTCTTTCTAAATAGAATCATATTATTAATTTATGTTTCTTCTTTTTTTTTCTTTTAAGATATGCTTTATTGATATTTCCTATAATGATTATTATTATGATCTAAAATCAAATTGTCGTTTTCTTTTTCTTTCTATAAATTAAATATGTTATCGAGTGATAAACGATGAAATTAGTAAGTATAATCTATAAATTATTCGATGTGTTGATATTTATTTGTTGAAATAATAGTTATCTAGTATTTATCTATCGATTTTTATCCATCAATTACGAACATTACTTATTGTTGTGGCAAAAGAAACATGTACAATGGCAAAATTTGTTTGTTATCAATGTGATTCACGTGTTGATGACTATTGTGGTGATCCATTTAAAGTTCATCGTGCTAATCGTACAGTTGAATGTTCAGATTATTGTGTAAAATTTTTTCATTTTGATGGTACATCAACAAATGATACATTTGTACGACGTGGTTGTTTAACTGATTATTTTCTACATCGTTTATCAAAAATTGATGTTTGTTATCGACATGCTCCTGGTTCAAATTTTACAATAGGACGTTTTTGTATGTGTGCAAAAGAAATGTGTAATCATACTTCATCTAACACAACAATTTCATTAGATTTTATTTTTCTCATTATTTTTCAATTAATAATATTAATTGAACTTAAGACGATATTTTCGTAGTATTAACATGCCTTTTCTTATTGGTATTTTTTTTTGTGTCTTTTTTGTTTTCTGTATTTGTGTCTATCATTTATGGATGCATGCATTTTTTTTTTCTTTATTTCTAATATGAATGTAAACATACATATATTGTCTAACGGCGAGACAAGTGTAGACAATAAGATATTATATGTACAATAGTTCACATTTACTTGTTTCTTTTGTTGACTATCTATTTAATTAAGAGTTAAATTATCACATGATGAAATTTTGAGCAGTACAAAAACAAATCGATCCACCTACGTAATATTGACTTCGGGTTTTTTCCCTACTTATCATGTAAAAAAAAGATAAGAGTAGTCATTAGGAATATTACCACTATTGTATGATACGTTGTTTTTTATACACGTTGTTGTCATAAGAAAACGTTAACATTATCGCCATCATTATGATCATGATCATTATTACCTATGACGGTAGAATATGTATACATGTCGCGTGTCATTCTTTACCTTCCGAAAAAAAAAAGAAAAAAAAAAAACCGTCGACGAAAATGACGCATAAAATAGCTTGTACATCCGGCCTCGGCCAAGATAAACGAAAAGAATAAGAAGACGAAGACGAAGAAGAAACAGAGAGAGAGAGAGCAAAACAGAAAGGTGAGTATAGAGACGGAGGAAATAACGAATTTGAGTTTCGTTAAGTAAATGGTGTTGGAGGACATTAACAACAGAAGGATAAGATGATCAGTTAGTTTTTTTCATTCCTTTTTATCGTTACATCATTATTCATGGTTTTATTTTCCTTGGAATTCTTGGCTCGCCAAGGTTGACAAGAAATTTCTCCATTTATTCTTATGACATTATTCATTGTCAAATAGATACTCAACATAAGTAAAGAAGTGTGAAACATAAGACATAACCAAAAACGAAAAAAAACAAAGTAAGTCTTTTTTTTTACAATTCGTTTTTTTTTTGTTATCTATTGTTGATACTAGAGTGAATTCATCAATTAATTTGATAAGATAAAAGTTTATTTTTTTGTTTGCGGCCACTCCTATATATACTCAATAATCTAATAAAAAAAAATGAGCAAAACTTGTTCGAAAGAAAAATGTTGCAAACAGAAAAATCTCCGACTCTCTTTCGACAATATATTGATGAACCAACAAACGATGATGGTTTTATTGCTCAACGAGTGCATAATACATATAAATTAATGCACACGTATCAATCTGTGGATTTTGTTCGTCAACAATATGATCGGTGGTTAAAATTTGATCATGATCGTATGACAATTAATGAAGCAATTAAAAAATTAAGTACATTTGTTGATGAAAGTGATCCTGATGTTGATGTACCAAATATCTATCATGGATATCAAACAGCTGAAGCTATACGAAAAGCATATCCAGATCAAGATTGGTTTCATTTAACAGGTCTTATTCATGATTGTGGAAAAGTTTTAGGTCTATACAATGAACCACAATGGGCTGTTGTCGGTGATACATTTCCTGTTGGTTGTCAATTTAGCGATAAAATTGTTTTTCGTAAAACAACATTTGATAATAATCCTGATTTATATAATCAAATTTATTCAACTAAATATGGTATGTATACACCAAATTGTGGTCTCGATCAATGTATGATGTCTTGGGGACATGATGAATACCTTTATCGTGTTTTGATTAATCACCCGACATGTACTTTACCCGATGAAAGCTTATATATCATTCGATATCATTCATTTTATCCTTGGTAAGAGTGTTTTTTTCTATTTGAAAACTATTCAAAAAAAAAAATATTATTAATCTTTAAGGCATACAGGCAATGACTATATGTATTTATGTAATGAAAAAGATCTTCGAATGTTAGAATGGGTTCAACGTTTTCAAAAATTTGATTTATATACAAAAGATGATAATGCTTTACCAAATATCGATGAACTTGAATCATATTACTTATCGTTAATTGAAAAATATATTCCAGGCACAGTGGCTTGGTAGATGTGATTGACTCTTAATTTTATTTTCAATGATTCATTTGATTAACCTTAACAAATAAATAAGACAGAGAAAAAAAAATTAACACGTATGAAGAAATAAGAGTACCGCGTTTAACTTATTTTTATTCA